AACAAAAAACAAAAGCAAGAAGGAAAAAAACACAAAAACAATAACAAAAAAAAATGTATAAGGTATTAACATGAGACATCATTTTGGTGTAGCATACCTCCATTTAAATTTACAATTTTTCTGTGATTCAAGATTCCATCCAGATTTCCAGCCTGACTTCTGACTTTGACTAGAATCCATGTGCATGAACCAAAAATATGTACATAAGATTCATGCTCATTTTCATATTCCCCACCAACGTATATATCCAATGATGTCTGTCTCAGCATCAACACTTTTAGTAATGAATACCTATATACTGATGATAATCTCTTGAAAGCGTCCTGTATTCCGAATATGACATGTCTCTTTAAACCTTCAATTCAATAGCATTTAAAGTAATAAAAGTATTATGTGTGACACAAATCCTCCGAGCAACAGCCACCTCTCTAGATTATTTCAGTTTTGGATTGTCCGACTGCTGGCTGCTGTAAAGAGGTTAAACTGTTATTCAATGGATAGGTTGTATGCCGTAGTCTTTTGTTTTGTATTAAAATTTATTTAGTTGTTTCATAAATTTATTTATATACGTGTTAATTTACACGTGAAAAATATATCAGAGAAAAATGAATGATTTATCAAAGGTATCGTGTATTTCTATTATTTTCTTGGGGTCATTTCTTACTTGCAAGAGTTTTTATGACTTCAAGGCACTTCCGATTTATTATTTCTGCTTCTTTTGTTTTGCATATAATTTTTCCAGCTCCCATTTCAAAGGAAAAGAATGGTTTATAAATCCCAAAACGTTTTATCCAGATATACGGAAACCTACATTTGTCATTTTGTGTGTTTACATCTTTCAGAACGACCTCCTTATCTTGAAACGACAATGTCATCTTTCCTTTCAGCGAATACATCTTTGCCAACTTTGAACGTTCAATTTCTACTTTAAACTCGTTTCCTTTGAAAAAGAAATCGTTTCAACTAAGATAACATTATGCGAAACGTGTGTTCATAAAATACGTCTACATGTAAATATATTGCCATGTAAACTCTTACGGTCCTTTACCTTTTCATATTTAGATCTCATCACGTTATAGAGTCCCATATGAGTAACTTTCATATAGGATACATCGGGTTCAGTTCGTAATTAGCTAACGTAATATTCACATATCATGCATTCCGATAATATTTCAAGATTCTTTCTACTCAATAACTGCTTGTTTACTACTATCAGTAACTTAAAGAAATAAATACCTTCTACTGATGCCGGTGTCATGTCAGCAACATTTGTTACACTATCCTTATTCTCAAACACACAGGAATCGTCCTCCTCGTGTTCTTTTACCATATCATAATAATCTCCGTCGGCATCAGACCCAAGATTTAAATCACCAATACATCTTTGACTAAGAGCAGATATGTTATTGGATGCGGCATTTGATCATAGTGACCAGTAATAGTATCACTTTCTAATTTGACATTTCTTGTTGCACCCTGTTCCTCATTGATTTCCTCGTAAACATTTTCATTTATAGGATTTATATATGCTTTATCAGACTGATCTTGGACTTGTTGATTTTGGGTATATTTACTTTTTTCTATATCAACAATGTGTTTTTTCGTCTTTAATTGTCCACCTGAGCTTTCTTTCGTAACACAATATGTCTCGTATGTCAAATCCTGAAGACGGCGAAATAGATATTCCCCTGTTTCATTTTTGTGTATTTCAAATAATCTTTCATCAGCTATTAGAATGTTTTCATCAATTCTAACATCTTTAGCATTGTCAAGAAATACAAGGCGTTTTAAGTCTTTATTTGTTTTCAGGATCCAAAATTTGCCAACGTTCTTTAGAACGAAATTCTGACTATCTTCTTTCATTTGTTCTGGTTCATCGTTTGACGCCATAACTTAGACCTTACAATCTGTTAAAATTAAATTGAATTATACAAATTAAAAAAAGGGGGGATCAGACTTCTTGTATATGTTAGTGTTCATCCGTGCTGTTCTACAGAAATTAGAAACTTCGACGGGAGCGATAGCGACAGGGGAATGTTTCTAATTTCTGTAGAACAGCTACGGCTGAATACTAACATACTTAGTGTCAAGCTTTATTTGGCCTCATTATCATTCATTTATTACGTCACTATGCGGTTCTGTGATGTTCTATGAAAAATAGAAGTCGACTATGAACGGAATTCGATATAGTATCGACATTTGTTCTTCTATGAAAATTAACGCACAAAAATTTAAGAATACAGCGTTTTCATCGGATGACAAATAAAGTTGGGCACTTAAGTATTTTTACGGGATATGTAGGTTTTAAGAATGCAGGTCTAAGGTTATACACACCTGTGAAAATAATGGACGCAACAAATATAAAGTTAGGTAGACTGTATATATTGATATGGCAAAAATAGGTAGAATGTACAGTCTTATCAACACAAACATGTGCAGCAAACAATGTACAATTCAAGCTAGTACATTTAAGAAAATCGCTAAATTAAATTATCTTGCTCTTTGCAGAAGCTGAATACAACAGATGGAAAGCATTATGTTTGGTGAATTTGAAATATTTCAAATGATCAAACATTTATTTTGCAAGTTAACAATATCATGAACATTATCAAACTTATAAAATATTATAAAAAAAAACAACAACAACAAACAAAGCAACACTTTAGGATAAAATGAAATATATCTAATCAAATTATTGAATAAATACAAAATAATAATTATATCTATCATATAACTTACCTTTCCTCGGTTAAATATAGAAAGTTCCAAACTTGTGTTTATAGTAATGATTTGCGAAATATAAAAGATTTAATAATTTTTAAACATACTTATAAAACACCTTACATTCTATCACAATTTATCAACAACCAAGATATTTAATAATGCACTAGCTGTACAGGGAAACGTCCTTGTCCTTGTAACATATTAAAACAGTAGTTTTGATTAAAACAAGAAATTTCAAATCACATTATACATCCATGTCACACGATTACGTCACAATTAGTAATCATCGTACATTAAAGTACATAATGTGCTCAATGTACATGTATTTTGATTTAAAAGTCATATCATTAGAATTAATCTACATTGTACTAAAATATAATTAGCTTCTGCATGAGTCTTGTAGTTTTGTGATTCTCCTGTATATATTGTATGACACTATGACGAACTAAAATAAACAAAATCTTCCTGTATCCTTCTTGTATGAGTCAGTACCGTTCATGAACAGGCTCAATGAAACCAGGGACATAGATTACTAATATTTATAAATAATCTCTGGTCAAACTGAGCCTGCAACGCACAATTTCAAATTTGTCGTTTTCGGAGTTTTTTTTTTTTTTTTTTTTTTGTTGGTGTTTTTTTTTTATAATTAAAGATCCCGTTTTTCTCTATATTAATAATATTGTATATCCCCTGTATGACCAATTTAATTCATGTATTACATTTTAGTCAAATAAATATTGTATACATTTACTTTTAAAACCTTTTGGAAACCAAGCATGCGTAACTGTTTATAATCTGATTGCAAGCGTACTGTATATACTCCGGCTTTTCTTAACTAGTTGAAAAAAGTGTTTGGGGACATTTGGGATACTTTATGTTTAAGCTTAAAACAAACATAAATAAAGCCAGGTACGTATAAATATATATACCTGATAAAGCTAAAGGACAAATTTGCCTTTTTTCAGAACGTGTAATCAGAGTTTTCACATAATCTTCCTAATTAATAAATAAATAAATATTGTTTGCTCTGTTTTTTTTAATTATTTACTATGGTTATATTTATATGTTTTTCAGGTCATAAGATATGGATTTTTTTTATAAAGAATATAATTAATTTTATACAAAGAGTAACTTATAATAAAACAATGATTGTTATGTATATAGTAAAATATATATCAGGTTGTTTTAGGGGCTTCAATTTAGTACTTTAGCACCATACATTTTGATTGAAAATTCTAATATGGATATTATTTAAAACACCGGTTTCACGATAGACCAACAAATTCGATAGACCAAAAGATTTTATTTTTTTTTATCCAAAAGATTTTTTTTCCTTTCAGTATAGATTGTATTTCATAATCATTTTTTAATTATTGTAACCCTACTTGAGAGTTTTTACCGTAATCGGAAATACCAGAGTTTAGCTGTACATACCGGAGTGACAACACGGCCATTATCAAGGAGGCAGTACACAGTTTCGGCTGTTTAGTTTCGAATTGGCCAGGGAATTTACAAATAAGAGACAGTTTTGAAATTGAAGTGGATATTTGAGGTTCTAAATGTTTATAGTTACTATATTTCAAGTTTCAATGACTAGTATTGTGTTTCAGTTATTTAGTAAAATTGAATTTAGTGGCGTTAACCCTTGCTTTTTTGAGAGAGCACCTGTCGGATGCGAACATGTGGTTTTTGGAGCTAGGCGGTGATTCAGCTCTTCAATTTAAAGGGTATGCAGAAGACTTAAAATAGTGAAAAAAGTAGGTGCATGACTCCCCGTTTGGATGTTATTTTCAGATTGTGCATTGTTTAAGAAGGAAGAATCACTATAGCTTGTGATTTAATCTTTTGACGTTAATATATTGTTGTATTTTGCGATTAGGGGTAATCCGCAATTTTTGTCGTTGATTTTCGCGACCAAAACAATGAAAAACACAGGGCTATGTGCCAGAAAACTAGAAGGTGGACATGTATTTTTAATTGTTTGCTGTGAGATACATATGTATATGTTAAATATGAAATGCATTTATTTCAGGTGTGTGATTACAGACTTGTGTGTGAGGTTTTGATTGTGGCGCAGTCAGTTGTTTGCCGAGAAGCCTTGAAAACTGTGTATTGCCCCCCAAGGCTTTGAACGAAACGAAACAAAAAGAAAATAGGTTATATTTTGTTTCTGTAGAGATAGATATTTGCAACTCATTGTCAGTTTATATAAATATGAATAATGTTTATGCAAAATAATATTATATATGCTGTCATTTAGTGTTTAGTGCGCTGAATGAAAAAAATAATATCTGAGAATGTAGTATCTTTCGGATTTCCCAAATATTCGGACGAATTCAATTTATCTGGACAAACCAGTTCTCAAACATCTAGCATTCAAAAGGTCTTTAAAGTATCAGTAGTGAAACATCTTTATAGAAATTCTTGTGACTTAACACAACTAAAATTGGTGAAAATTGCATTGACCACAGGATCTTGAAATTCTATCAATATTAATGACAAGTAAAATGGTTTCCTGTTGTGAAAATTTTAATGATATAAAAATATTTCATTTAACTATTTTCAACATTATTTGGGGGGGGGGATAAATAAACGTTTGTAACAGGAACATAGTTGACAATAATCGAACAATATAGAAGAAGGTCTTTGGAAACTGTATGTGACCGTTGAAGACCGGAGAAGGACGAACATAAAACAATTATTTCTTTTTAAGAAAATGATTAAATATGCCTACCATTTTATGGGTTACACGACTTACCGGAATCGGCCGAATTACCGGAATCGACCGGAATCGGCGGTGAATTACCGGAATCGACCTGTAACTTTGTAATAATTAAATTTTTTAAGTTTTTCTTGCAATTTTATAAAATATTAACAATATCAATGATTAATGAAAAGATTTTTATAAATAAAATCGCTTTTGATTAATTTAACAAGAGATCTAATATCGGCGAGCTACTGCCAAACTGCCCGTGACCGGAATCGGCCTGTTATTTCGTTGTTTATGCAACTTTTAATGTTCCTTTTGCATGTTTTTATAAAACCTAAATATTATCATTAATCTTCCTAGAGATTGTGAAAAAATCGCTTTTGAATAATAATAATAAACAAATATTTATGATCAGCGAAAACGGGCAAACTGCCGGAATCGGCGAAGGATTACCGAAATCGGCCTGTAATTTGCTTATCTTTAAACTTTTAACAAACTTTTTGCACCCTTAATTAAAAATAAACAATAGCAATGATTTGTAATCAGATTATTGTCAATAAAATCACTTTTTATTAATTAAACAAGATATTTAATATCGGCGAGTTACTGCCATACTGTCGAAAACGGCGAAGGATTACCGGAATCGACGTATAATTTAGTCTATTGTACTTTTTAACGTTTCTGTTGCATTGCTTATGCCCCGGTCACATATTCACGGATAATGCCACGGAAGAGCTACGGTCTAATCGTTCACGGATTACTACGGAAATGTGAAATTTCGTAGTCCGCTACGGTTCCAGTACGGACACACAACGGTATGAGTACGGAGTCCGACGGATTTACCACCAAAAGCCCCCGGAGAGACACGGTTTGTTACGGAGCGACACGGTTTGATACGGAGCGACACGAATCAGGACGGACGCACTGCGGATACATTACGGTCTGCTACGGTATAAGCACGGGTTAGTACGAATAAGTACGGTCTGATACGGAGAAGAACGTATTGATACGGAGAAGAACGAATTGCCACGGATCTATACGGACCTAATACATCCGTCCACAACCTCTTAATTGCTTGCTCATTTTCAAAATGCCTCAAACGAAAAGAACACCTAGAAAACGAATTGTAGCGTTCAATGATTTTGGTGGAGAGGATTCAACCGAACCCCGTCCAATCAAAGTGATTTTCTTGAAGAACGCTGGATCCTCAACAAGTTCGGCCATAGAAGGCTTATACTAAACATGAAGCGGTCTTCGTAAAAGCCCATCTCTAGTCCACCATCTCGTCTGTCTTCTCTTACCTGATTAGATATGGACAAGTAATCATTAATGAAAAATGTTGATCAATACTGCTTCTCTTTTAATTTTAAGATTTGCTGTTCATCTTACAATTACATTAATTATCGTGATTTTTATGTTTTAAAAATATGTAAAAAGCTTGTTAATTAATCTGATTATCACTCAAGGGCCATTGTCCGAGGCTTATGAGACACTTCGTTTTATGTACATATTTACTCCATTTTCACGATCCAATGTTTCTAAAATATGTAACATTAAATGTAATTCTATTACTTATGAATTGTAGTACGATAAAAATATATTTTTACCTTTATGCATGTCATCATTCAGCTCGACCACTGCCTCCGCATTCTGAGCCATTTCAATATAAAATATGATAAACAAGATAAAGATAAAGTTGCAGCCAGTAAATGGCAATTATCATTTATTAAATGTTCCTGCAAAAATATATGTCTGTTTTTACCAAGAAGGTAGTATTTATACCATTGAAAAAGTACATGGTACTTAATTCATCCGTACTAAACAGTGGTGGGCCGTACCGTTCCGTACCATTTCGTGTTGCAACGCAATAAACCGTATAAGACCGTGCTAATCCTTGCCTCTCCGTTGTACAACGTATTACGATCGTGGCTCCCCGTGACAATGCCGTATTAATCCGTATTAAAACCGTAGCTAATACGTAGGGTAACCGTACAAATACGTAGTTCTCCGTACAAAACCGTGGAAATCCTTGACATCTTGGTGGACTACGAATCAGTACGGACTATTACGGTTTTCGTACGGACCAGTACGTATCAGTACGGATTAATACGGACTAGTAGGGATACGCTACGGTTGATTTTTCCGTAGCAAAATTTTGTGCATGTTCAAAAATTGTCAAGGATCGCTACGGATATACAAGGACTACCACGATTGATTACGGTTACAATACGGAGAGCTACTGACCAGTACGGGTAGCTACGGACGATGCCGGAATTAATCCGTGGCTCTTCCGTGAGCGTATTCCGTGAATATGTGACCGGGGTATAATATTCGTCTTATAAAATATAAATATTATGAACGATATAGATTCTTTCTTTCTTTTATTTTGTAAATTTCAATCGCCTTTGGTTAATAAAGCAAGAGATCAAAGATCGGCGAGTTACATATACTGTCATACTGCCGAAATAGGCGAATGATTACCGGAATCGGCCTGTATTATTGTAATTGATGGACTTTGCAAGAAAAAAAATGCAAACAATATTATAGATATCTAAAAAGATTTCTGAAAATGAAGAATCCTTATTAAATAATAAACTAGAGATCTAAGGTCGGCGAATTACTGCCATATCGCATATATGCAGTGCCAGGGCTATCGGGGAATTACCGGAATCGGTCTGTTTTCCCCACCAATATTTCAACGTTTAAAAAATAACCTTGAATTATTTTATTAAATACAAACAATTTAAACGATTTTTATAATGTTTATTGAAATCGGTATTAAATAAGAAGCAAACGATTTATGAAAAATAGCTGTTATATAATAATAATAAGATTAATATTGAAGATCGGCAAAAACGGGAAACCTGTTGGAATAGGCGATGGATTACCGGAATCGACCTGTAATTTGGTTATTTGTGAACTTTTTAAATATTTCTTTTGCATGTTTTTATAAGATATAAACATTTTCAACGATATTCATTTTTGTAAGTAAATTCGCTTTTGATTAATAAAATAAGAGACCTAAGATCGGCGAATTACTGTCATACTGCCGATATAGGGAAGGATGGGCGGGATCAGCCTGTAATATAGTTGTTTTATGTTATTTTATTGAATGCCAATAATATCATCGATATACAAAGATTTTCTTTTGAGAAATAAAGATCACTTTTTTACTATAAACTAGATATCTAACATAGGCTAATTACTATCACAGTGCCTGAATTAACAGGTAAATACCGGAATTAGTCTGTTATTTTGTTATATTTCAGCGTTTTAAAAATATCTTGCCATAATTTATAAAATACAAACAATTCAAATGATATTTAATAATATTAATTGTAATTGCTAATACATAATAAACAAGGTGATCTATGATTCCATGCTACCGAATCGACGAGCGATTACCGGAATCGGCCTCACTTCGTCTAGAATTACTGGAATGGGTTCTAATTTTGTTATGAATGTGAACTTAATATAATTATTATCATTTAATTTTTGCATGTATTTACAAACATAATCATTGATATTTTATGGAATAATGCAATATCGTCTTTACATTATATTTTTCAGGACATTGCTAACAGAGGATGGATAACAATAGGTCAGTTTAGTCCTTATGTTTGCATAACTCAATTCTTTATTTCATAAAGTAGTCGATTGATAATTACATGCAATAATTTTTATTTGAATCTTTATTTAAACAATACAAACCTCATAAAATATTCACATGAAATCAATGTTTTACCAGGCAGTTAAATCGTACTTACTTGACAGTTCATGGTCATTCTGGAGTATCAAATCAATTGTCGTCATTTGTGTTTTTGGTGCACCATAAAATATTACAAAGATTGCGAATTATTCAATCGTTGAAACATAGATTCGTTAGTCTTAAATAGTAAACGAATCATCTATACCCGTAACGTATAAAACAGTGAGATATGGATGTTAACTATATACGCACAGATGTTACTGTCACCTTATTGGAAGTTAACGAGCTGTATATTGTGAGCTGTGTATTGGGAAGTGTGATATACTATAAAACAGTGGGGTGCCAATATACGGTATGCTGATATATTTCATAGTGTGAGGGACTATCTGTTAGAGAATGGCTGTTGTTAAGCATGAATTAAGTCACAGGATTTATTGAACTGCAAAAATTTTAAAGGCTGTTAAACTGCCTGTATAGATCATAAGATTCTTTTCAAAGTTTAGCATAATTTCTTACCATTTGACCCATCTAATTATTAATAGAAAATGGAAGATCCTTAAAGTAAAGGATTATGATAAATAGTTAGGAGTTCCGTATTGAAAAAGAATAATTGTCAAAATTTGTATGAAAATGGAAGTCTTCGCATTTTTTACCTTTACAGTTTAAAGGAACTCCACTGAAAAAAGAGTGATCAAATGATCTGATCCAAAGATCATAACTAATTTATTAAACAGGAG